ATATGTATGTGAAATCTGGACAATGAATATGGAAGACCAAAGAAGAATTGATGCCTTTGAATTATGGTGTTGGCAAAGAATATTGAATATACCGTGGACTGCCAGAAGAACGAACAAATCTGTCTTGGAAGAAGTACAGCCAGAATGCTCCTTAGAAGCGAGGATGGCGAGACTTTGTCTCACGTACTTTGAACATGTTATCAGGAGGGACCAGTCCCTGGAGAAGGACATCATGTTTGGTAAAGTAGAGGGTCAGTGCAAAAGAGGAAGCTCTCAACGAGATGGATTGACCCAGTGGCTGCAACAATGGGCTCAAGCATAATGATTGTGAGGATGGCACAGGACCGGGCAGTGTTTGGTTCTGTTGTACATAGGGTTGCTATGAGTCGGAACAAACTCGACGGCACCTAACAATAACAATGGCTAATGGCACAGTGGTTAAGAGCTCGGCTGTTAACCAAAAGGTTAGCAGTTCAAATCCACCAGCTGCTCCTTGGAAACTCCATGGGGTGGTTCTACTCTGTCCGATAGGGTCGATATTCGTTGGAATCGACTTGATGGCAATGGGTTTGTTTTTTTTTTTTGAATGGCTAATCATGTTGAGCATCTTTTCATGTGCTTATTTGTCAATTTGTATATCCTCTTTGGTGAAATGTATCCATAGGGTTTTCATTGCCTGGTTTTTGGAAGTAGAGGGCCAGGCCTTTGTTCCTAATCCATCTTAGTCTGGAAGCGCTGTTGAAATCTGTTCAGCATCCTAGCAACATGGAAGCCTCCACTGGCAGATGGGTGGTGGCTTCGCATGAGGTACATTGACTGGGAATTGAACCTGGGTCTCCTGCATGGAAGGTGAGAATTCCACCACTGAACCACCATTGCCCTCACTCCATCAGGCTGCAGAAGTCTAATAAACTGGTGCTCTGCACTCCAGGCCCCTGTCTAAAGAACTCAGGCCAATCATGCAGAATGAGAGCCATCCTCAGGCCCCCAGCCCCATGATTAATCCCTTATACCTGGCAAATTCCGATGGAATCTGCCCTCTTGCCTCAATCATTGCCCCATGCCTTGTTTCGTGCCTCATCGTCACTTCCCAGGAATAGTGGTAGGACTAACTGAGCTGCCTCCAGTCTTTCCCCTGCCGCTTCATCTTCCACTCTCTCACCAGGGAAGAAAGACTGCTTCTCACTCTACTTCTCTATTGAGAAACTGCCTTTGGTTCCCCAGGCTTCATCATCAAGTGAAAACTCCTTGGCGTAGCACTCCTGCTCCACACAACCTATGCTCCAGCCATTCTGAATCTCTCTCCATTCCCTCTACAACATTTGGTGTCATTGTAGGTGTGGTTTCCGCCACACCTGAAAAGCTCTTCTGCCCCTTTTCTGCTTGGTAATCACTTAGCTTTCTTTCAAGAGCTAGCTCATATGTCACCTCCTCAGGAAGCCTCTCTGGACTCCTCCAGAACAATGCTCCCCTCTCTTATAGGGATTAATATATTATGTTGCAATCTTTTGCTTGCACCTGCCTCCCTGTGAAATGTGGAGTGCCTAGAGGGAAATGACCCTGCTTATTCATCTTTTGATCCCCAGAGCCTAGCACAGTGCCAGACTCATGAAGGGTGGTCAGAAAGGATTTGATGAATGAATGAGTGCATGAATAAATGAATGAATGTTTGACCATTATGGTAGACTGTACTTTGGTGGCCCCAATGAACCACACCTCCTGATATTCATGCCCTTGTGTAGTCCCTCCCACATTGACTCTGGGCTGGGCTATGGGAAGTGCTTTGGCCAGTGTATCCTTAGCAAGTGTGATGCAAGCTCTCTAAGCCAGGGCTGGTTAAACACTGACTGTTATGGATTAAATTGTGCCTCCCAAAAGAATATGTTGAAATCCTAACCCCTGTATCTATAAATATGACCCTGTTTTGAAATGGGGAGTTTTCTTTTTTTATGTGAATGAGGCCATACCAGAGCAGGGTGGGTACAAAACCTAATCACTTCTGATTTATACAAAGCTGAACAGACAGAAGCACACACAGGGGGAAGACAGACTCCAAGCAAAGCCACTGAGGAATGCAAAGAAACTCCAAAGAACTCCAAGGAACTCCTGCGGCTTCCTACAGAGAAGGACCTCCCCTCAAGCCAAACCTTGAATTCAGACTTCTAGCCTCCTGAACTGTGAGGAAATAAATTTTTTCTCTTTAAAGCCCCAAGTTGTGGTCGTTTTTATTACAGCAGCTCTAGGTAACTAAGACACTGACAAATTCTTACTCTTTGGATCTCCTGTTCCTGGATTTTTACCTCTCTAATAATGACAAAAGGAGACCTGGTGGCACAAAGGCTAAAGTACTGGGCTGCTAACCAAAAGGTTGGTGGTTTGAACCTACCAGCCGCTCCGTGGGAGAAAAGACCTGGCGATCTGCTCCCATACAGATTTCAGTCTAGGAAACCCTATGGGGCAGTTCTCCTCTGTCCTATAGGGTCACTATGCATCAGAATAGACTCGATGGCACACAACAACAACAACAACAATAATGACAAATATTGGTATAGAATTTTGCTTCATGCAAAATATTCTCACATACATATATGATTCTTGCAAGAATGCTCTGAGATAAATATTGTTGTCATCACATTTTATAGATGAAACTCAGAAACTCCTTAATCTCTCAGTTAATGAGGAGGTTGAGCTTCAAGCTTCAAAGCCAGGCTGTCTCCCCAGTCATAGCAGCCTTGGGTTCGGAACAGTATAGGCATGCTCTTGTAGAGAACTTCCCTGAATGAGTTAACACTGGGAGCAGACTGGGCCTCGGCCAGTTCTCAAGAACAGTCCCAGCTTCTTTCTCTTTCTGTCTCTCCTAAATCATGCTTCATGAATATTTAATTATGTTGTTGTTAGGTGCCACAGAGTGAGTTTTGACTCATAGCAACCCCATGTGACAGAGTATAACTGCCCCATAGGCTGTAATCTTTACGGGAGCAGATGGCCAGGTCTTTCTCCCGAGGAGCTACTGAGTGGGCTCGAACCACCAACTTTTTGGTTAGCAGCCGGGCACTTAACTGTTATGTCACCAGGGTTCCTATATTTAACACAATTGTTATTGTTACTAGGTGCCCTCAAGTCGTTTCTGACTCATAGCAACCATAGGTACAACAGAATGAAACACTGCCTGGTCCTGTGCCCTCCTCATAATTGTTGTTATGCTTGAGCCCATTGTTGCAGCCACTGTATCAATCCATCTCGTTGAGGGTCTTCCTCTTTTTCACTGACCCTCTACTTTACCAAGCATGATGTCCTTCTTCAGGGACTGGTCCCTCCTGATAACATGTCCAAAGTACATGAGACAAAGTCTCGCCATCCTCGCTTCTAAGGAGCATTCTGGCTGTACTTCTTCTAAGACAGATTTGTTAGTTCTTCTGGCAGTGCATGGTATATTCAATATTCTTTGCCAACACCATAATTCAAAGGCATCAATTCTTCTTTGGTCTTTCTTATTCATTGTCCAGCTTTAGCATAAAGAAAAAAACAACTCATTGCCATGGAGTCAAGTCCAACTCATAGCAACCCTATAGGACAGAATAGAACTGCCCCATAGGGTTTACAAGGAGCTGCTGGTGAACTCGAACTACCAATTTTTTGGTTAGCAGCTGAGCTCTTAATCACTGCGCCACCAGGACTCCCCTTAGCACAATAGAAGAGTGGAAATAGTGACAGAGCACCACTGAAAGCAAGCAATTCAATATCTGTTATTTCCATTTCTTAGCACGGTTAACCAAAAACCTGTTGCCGTCAACTCGATTCCAACTCATAGTGACCCTATAGGACAGAGTAGAGTTGCTCCATAGAGTTTCCAAGGCTGTAATCTTTACGAGAGCAGACTGCCACATCTTTCTCCCATGGAGCAGCTAGTGGGTTTGAACTCTAGACCTTTCAGTTAGCAGCTGAGTGCTTAACCACTGCACAACCAGGGCTCTTTCCTTAGCACAGTAGAGGAGTGGAAATAGCAAATATTGAATTGCTTGCTTTCAATGGAAGCTCTGTCACTCAGCTGGGTGACCTTGGTGTGCGGGACACAGTGATGCACCGCCCTGATCCCTCTTCAAGAAAGAACTCACTGCCCGGCTGCTAGAAGTGCTATTGGCAGACAGCCCTCAGCTCTCAGCCCCTCAGAGTCAGCTCAGTTCCAGAGAGCTGTCTCCGCCAAGGTAACATCCCCCTGGGGTGGTCTCCGTTCACTGACTGATCGCTCCTGGAGTATAAAGGTCTAGCCATCTCAGCCTAGCTCAGGACAACTCTGAAGGGCCATTCTCACTCCACAGCTTCCCTTAGGGATGGCTGAGGCTGTCACTGGACCTGCTTGACTTTGCCCCATCCACCCTCCCTCCCTGCTTCCTTCCTCCTTCCCAAGGGTACTTAATAAACATCCTGCTGTCCAAACTCTGCCTCGGAGTCTCCTTCCTGGGAACCCAAGCTGCAACACTGGTTAATTGACCTCCCTGAGCCTTGCTTCCTTCATCTGTGAAGTAGGAGGGTTGTTATGTGATTAAGTGTGATACTTAATACGAACCATCCTATTACAGAATGGGCTGCCAATCTGTGGCAGCGATTCTCATTAGTATTTTTTAGAGGTTGGAGCTACAGACTGGAAGTGACAGCCCGTTGCTGGAAGGGACTGTTTCATGCTTTAACCTGTACCTGAGTGTTGCGAGACTATGCGTGCTCCTCTGAAAGGTGGCCTGTTTGCTGGAGCCTTTCCTGCTGTGGCAAAGGTTGGTAGTTCAGTTGAGCTAACTGGGTGGGTACTTAGCACGGCAATCTGTTGGGTGATGGGAGAAGCCCCACTACTTCCCTGGAGGGAAGGGAGGAGGAAGCTGTGTCCCCTGGGGTGGGCAGCCATCTCTGCAGGAGACATTTCTCATTTTTGTTGAGCCCCAGGGGGTGGTGGCATCCAGTTAGGGCAGGAGGGAGCTCTCTGGGAGGGGGGTCTGCTGGCCTCAGGGGATCCCGGCAGGAAGTCTGGTTTTCTGTAAGCACCAGCTTAATCTCTAATGCCTCCAAAATCCTATTGAATGTGGTGTCAAACAGAATTTATGCTGGGCTTGAAACAGAGGACACTGTTTCCCCTTTTTAGGAGGTTAGGAAGGGATCCAGAGGGGCCTTTGACTCTTCTGGCCTGAGTGGGTCACTAAATGGTGGGGAAGTGCTGGCTTCAAAAGGTTATTATAATATCTATCTATCTATCTATCTATAATTGTGGTAAATATATAGGTAACAAAACATTTGCCATTTCAGCAACCTTCACATGTACAATTCAGTGACATTAAATAAGTTCATCATGTTGTTCCACCATCACCATTAACTGTTGTTGTAATTGTTAGGTGCCATTGAGTCGATTCCAACTCATATTGACCCCATGTGACAGAGCAAAACTGCCCCAATGGAGTTTTCCAGGCTGTAATCTTTACAGGAGGACATCACCAGGTCTTTCTCCCATGGAGCGACTGGATGGGTTCGAACCACCAACCTTCCAGTTAGCAGCCGAATGCTTCACTATTGTGCCACCAAGGCTCTTCTCCATCAACTATTAAAGTTTATTATTCTCATATTACAAAAGTAATACAAAATTCACCTCCAGGCTGTTCATTGGAGAAAAATGTAAAGATACAGAAAAACAAACACACAATCAAAAAAAAAAAAAAAAAAAAGGGAGGGGTGGTAGGGGAGGAGAAAAGAAACGGAATGGAATGGAAAACAAAGGAAAGAGTAATGTGTTATCCTGACACCTAGAAAGAAAAACTTAACATTTTGGGGCATATCCTTGCATACTTTTTTCTTTATATGCACATGCCAGTATGTAGCAGAGTTCATCATGTACCCCTTTGAAGCATACCAATTTAGCCATATACTCTTAGCCGAGTGAGAGAAAACAATTTAAATAATATGGGCCGTTCTGTCTACCCATTTCCTCAAAAGAATAAGCATGAGATGGAAGCCACAAATCTATTTCCTTAGTTGCTTTCAATTCAAATGTGTCTCTCCAATCTTGCCAAGTGATGCTAGTGTTTAGGAGACATATTTGTCACACAGTATGGTCCCTACGTGCAAGTGAATGACTTCACCCCTAGAGTGACCTTGTGGTATAGGATTTAGTGATGCACCTCCAGTATGTTCATTCCTACATTATTTTCAAGGGCAATTTTGACAATTGGTGATTTCCTCTTCTCACCTGTCTTTCAAATCCAACTTCTGCAGAGGATGCAGTTGCATTGTACATATATTTACAACTTTTAGGACGTTTTGAAAATTTCACTCCGAAGGAAGGTGTTGAGATGAACATCCTAGTACATAACATATTTGCCCTCTTGTCCAGTCATTTCTTTACTATAAATTTCTAGAAGTAGAATAGCTGGGTCAACGGGAAAACACATTTTAAGGCTTCTAATCCAAGCCAAGCCAAGCCACGCCTGTTGCCATCGAGTCAATTCTGACTCATAGCAACCCTATAGGACAGAGTAGAACTGCCTCATAGGGTTTCCAAGGAGTGGCTGGTGAATCTGAACTGCCAGCCTTTTGGTTAGCAGCTGTAGCACTTAACCACTACACCACCAGGGCTCCAAGGCTTCTGATACACAGTGCCAATTCCCTCAGAACAGTGGTATCAGGTGGTATCAACATACACTCCCATCAACTGTGTATGAGTGTGCTTTTTTTCTTTTTCCTTGCCAACACTGGATATATTATTACTCAAAACATATCAGGACCCGGTATCTTTTTTTTTTTTTTTTTAATGTATGGTGGGCTGAATAAACACCCCAAAGATGTCCATGTCCTAATCTTAAGAATCGGCGAATGTTACCTTATGTGACAAAAGGGACTTTGCAGATGAGATCAAGTTAGGGATCTTGAAATGGGGAGATTATTCTGGATTATCTGCAAGGGCCCAATCTAATCACAGGGGTCTTTGAGTTAGAGAGAAGCCAGAGTCAGAGAAAAGGCAATGTGACAACAGAAGCAGAGGTCTACGTGATGTAACGGCTGGCTTTGA